ACCCCAAAACCCCAAAACCCCAAAACCCCTAAAAAACTAAAAAAATAGGTTTTTCAATCCCAAAAATGAATTCCTGCTCACCCTCCTCCAAACGCCTCTCTTGTCACCCTCAGGGCATCCTAAACGTTAAAGATTACCTCTTACTAAAATAAAAAGATCGAAAACTACCGAAAATACTCAACCAGTTCAACCTCCTCCGTCTCCCCCAAGGAAGGGCACAAGACTCAGTTCGATGAAGATAACTATAAAATAAGTTTTACTAGGATAGGCTCCGAACAGAGAGGAAGTGCCAAGAAGTCAGATTTTAATAGAGAAATCGAGAAGGAAATGAAATAAGTGTAAAATACCTGTTTCTTCTACATACTCAGTCAGGAAATTCAAAAGGAATCTTCAGAAAAGAGTTAATAAAAGAAAACTGTCAAAATATGTCAACGAGTTAAATGTCTATTTCCAAGACTACATCAAAGAAAATGAAAAGAAGAGAGTGGAAAAGCAGAAGTCTCTAAAGAAGGTGAAATTTGAGAAGCATAATTTTGCCATCTTTGCAACAAGAAGTGGTACATATATGACCAATGAGAAAACATCTAGTGCTCATAAGAGGACTTCTATTCCTAATTTAATGCTGCATACACTTGATCCTCCGAACTTTATAAAGATGAAGACAGCTATTAAAGATGGGAGAAATAACAGTCAGCAAAGACCACCAACTGAAAATAAAAGTTCTGCCCTCGCTACTGGCGATATAGATGGTAAGTTCACTACTTATCATTTTTACTTTAAGAAATTTACTTTAAGAAATGGTGGTTGCTCACATTATATTCCAGTTTAGAGAATTTAGACATAAGATTTTCTATTCCAGTCTAGAATTCATAACTGTCCTAAAACCCTGAAAGATTATTTCTTGGAGGAATCTAAATATAAAAATCTTTGTACACATTTGGGATACTTCTTTACTGCTAGCGGCTCTTTAAATCATCTTTACAACAAAATCTCCCCTCTCAAAAATAAACTGAGGTGACCATCAAAATTTATAGAAGAAGATACAGAAAATAGTCCTGAAATAAGTAATGCTGCAAGAGCAATAATTAATTTGAAGAATATACAAGCGAAGATTCCCAAAAAGGTTCAATTTAGGAACACCAAGGCGAGCTATGGCAGAAGACCTCCCAAGAGCAAGCCTAAAAGCAAGAAGGATTGGATGCTTTATATAGAAGGGAAATAAGAAGATAAATGATGACCTTAAACTGCCAAATGAAGAGGATGGTTCTAAGCCCTCTACCTTATTCTATAAAGCTCCGTCTGGACCTTGCAGAGAGAATATGGTGAAAAATAAGAAGCCTCGTAGCAGATCTTACTCATCTAGTTTATCTTTTAAGCCCTTTACTCCTCAGCTTGGGAAGATCCGCCGTTTAGTGTCGAATGCAAAATCTAAATCTCCATTCTACCAACTTCCATCACAAGATGAGATAAACGAGATGCTTGCTTCTGTGGGTGATAAGAAAGTCCGTGTTCAGACCTCTAGTAATAAAAATGCTAGAAGCAGATTATTCGATTTTGAAAAGAACATCAAATCAAATATCCTTTCTAAGGTACAGTATAGCATTAATTCTATAGAAAATGATCCCTCGTGGTCTCAAGAAGCTCATTCTAGACCACGAATAAGCTAACATTAGTAGTAAAAGTTATTCAATTTGCCAGGTCAAGTTTGGGGTTTTGGGGTTTTGGGGTTTTGGGGTTTTGGGG